CAGCCTGGACAGCCATAGCAAGACCTTGTCTCTATAGAAAATTAAAAATAAAAAAAAAAAAGGTTGCTCTGAGAAGGAAGCAGGTGTGGAGACCACAGGCCTGGCGGGTGGTGAAGGGGACCCCACCCAGGGCTCTTTACCTCAAAGCTCATGGCCAGCGCAAAGCTCTGGGGTAACTCTACTGGAGGGGAATGGATTCTTTGTCCCCCAGGAGGGGTGACAGAGAGGTGGCACGCCTGTCTCCCGAGAGTCCTTCTGACTTCACTGCCTGGGACTTTGGCACTGGAAAAAATCAAAAAGTCCCCAAATAAAGGCCCCGTGAAGTAAACCAGGATGCCTCTACAGAGTGGAAGTCTTAGAAGTCATGTTTTTGACTGGGTGCAGTGGCTCAAGTCTGTAATCCCAGCACTTTGGGATGCCAAGGTGAGAGGATTGCCAGAGCTCAGGGGTTTGAGACCAGCCTGGGCAACTTGCCGAGACCTCATCTCTACAATAAATCGAAAAATTGCCTGGCATAGTAGTGCACACCTGTAGATCCAGCTGCTTGGAAGGCTGAGGAGGAAGGATCACCTGAGCCCAGCAGGTCGAGGCTGCAGTGGCCGTGAGTGTGCCACTGCACTCTAGCCTAGGTGACAGAGTGAAACTCAAAAAAAAAAAGTTATGTTTTGAAGAACAACGCAGGAAAGATCCAAAAGAGAGCTAATGGAGCACATAGTGTACATGCAGTCTGTACGTTAGAGTTGCAATTCGCTAATGTATATTCACACAGAAAAACTCGGAAGAAGAATTACACCCAAATCATGGCCGTAAAAAATAAACAGGCCCGGCCCTTACTCTGATCCCTCATGTGCCTTCATGCCTCTGGTCCTCCAAGGGCTTGTCCTGGGTGTCACTGGAGCCACATTCATGTCTTCCTCTCTGCTGAGGGACAGATGAGGTTAGGGTGACGTCCCCTGAGTCAGAGGCTGCTGATCCTGCCACGTGGTGGGCACCCAGGGTCTGTGGTGGCCACAGGCCTCTGCGGCTTGGCCGGGCTTTCCTCCTGCGTGGAGGGAGCCAGGTGTGTCTGGGTCCAGCTCGAGTCTGTCAAGCCCTTTGTTCTTAGTCTGTGAGCAGAAGGGCATGGCCTCCCAGATGGCAGAGCAGAGCCAGGAGTAGCCAGGGCCATGGGAGTCATTCGGAGCGGCTGTTCTGGGGGCCACCAGAGCCAGCTCGAGGATGGTCTCCACTGAGCTCATGATCTCCAAGCCCCTGCCCAGTGCCAGTCCCTGCCCTTTCTGCCTTTCTGCCTGTTGTCATCTCTGGTGGTTAAAGCGCTGTGGAGAGTAAGTGAGCTCCCACGGTGGCTGCGCTCCCACTGGGGCCTCTGGGAGAATCATTCCTGATCTCTTCAGCTCACGCTGCTGGCATTCCTTGGTTTGGGACCGCATCACTTCTGCCCCTGTGATCAATCCCTTCCCCGCTTCTGTCTGTGTCAACTCTCTCTGCCTCCCTCTCCTAAAATCACTAGTGACGGCATTCAGGGCCCACTTAGATAATCCAGGACAATCTCCACATCCCAGGATCCTTAACTTAATCCCATTGCAAAGTCCCCTTTTTTTTTTTTTTGAGTCAGAGTCTCACTCTGTCATCCAGGCTGGAGTGCAGTGGCACGCTCACCACCACCACAGCCTCGACTTGCTAGGCTCAGGTGATCCTTCCAGCTCAGCCTTCTAAGTAGCTGGAGCTAGAGGTGCCTGCCACCATGTCCAGCTACTTTTTTTCATTTACTGTAGAGATGAGGTCTCGCCACGTTGCCCAGGTTGGTCTCAAACCCATGGACTCAAGCAATCCTCTCGCCTTCGCCTCCCAAAGTGCTGGGATTGCAGGCATGAGCCACTGCACCCGGCTGCAAAGTCCCTTTTTCTACCGAAGGTGGCTTTCCGGGTTCCAGGACCTGACACTTCAGGGAGCCCTTCTATAGTCAACCACAGAGAAGAAGGAAGTAGGAAAAGGAGGCCGAGTGTGGGCTCCTGTGGTGCACAGGGCGGTCAGCAGGAAGTGAGGGAGTGAGCCACACTGGGATCTGGAGACAGAGTACTCAGGGCCAAGGGGACAGCCATGGCGAAGGCCTCAGGTCAAGTGTTGGGAGACTAGCCTGGCAACTGGGGCTTCTGGACTCAGTTCTGAAAGAAGCTCTGAGAGCTGCACCTGGCTGGCTTTCTGTCTACAGTTGATACAGGGAGCAAAGTTCCATCGTCGTCATTTTAGAGACAGGGTCTCACTTTGTTGCCCACGCTGGCGTACAGTGGCGTGATCATAGCTCACCATAGCCTTGAACTCTTGAGCTCAAGTGATCCTCCCACCTCAGTCTCCCAAGTAGCTGGAACCACAGGCACCCACCACCATGCCCAGCTATTTTTTTTTCTTTTAATTTTTTGTAGAGTGAGGGTCTCACTACGTTGTCCAGGCTGATTCAAACTTCTGGCCTCAAGCTTGATCCTCCTACCTCAGTCCCCTAAATTTCTGGGATTACAGGTGTGAACCACCCCACCCAGCCATGTCCTACAGTTTTTGAGGGTTATTAAGAAGTATTCACCTAGCTGAATGTGGTGGCTCATGCCTGTAATCCCAGCACTTTGGGAGGCGAAGACGAGAGGATTGCCCGAGCCCAGGGGTTCAAGACCAGCCTGGGCAACTTGATGAGACCTCATCTCTATAATAAATCAAAAATTAACCGGGTGTAGTGGCACATGCCTGAGGTGGTAGCAGTGCCTGAGGTTTCACCTACGCAGAAGGCTGAGGCAGAAGGATCTCCTGAGCCCAGCAGATCGAGGCTGCAGTGGCCATGAGCATGCCACTACACTCCAGCCTGGGCGACAGTGAGACTCTGACTCAAAAAAAAAAAAAAGCAAAAGTAATTATCCACCCACTCTGGGGTGGCTGGGGAGGGAGGCCTGGTGCTCTGAGCTGAGATTGGAGAAGCGTGATTCAGAGGAACGCAGCCCTGAATCCAGAGGGCTGGCAGAGTTCTCCCCCTTCCTCCTCTGCCTCTTGGTGAGAGCCATCCCTTACAGGAGACTCCGCAGTTCCTGAGTCTCACCCCACAGCCAATTTGTTCTTTGCCCCTGGAGCACAAGTACATCCTTACAGCAGCCAGGGAGCAAAGTTCCATCAATGGCGTGTTTAGATTGGGCAGTCATTCGTCCAAGGGGGCCACGGCACTGCCACGGCACCATGTCACTCAGGGTTGAGCGCGTGTGGCGTTGAAGAAACGCTGGCCAAGGCCAGAGTGGATCCCAGCCTGCCCCATGCCAGCTGTGGGACGGCAGTTTCTCCACCCACAAATAGTCACGATATGGTCCTCAAATGATTGCTGGGAAGGACTTAACAAGGTGTAGCCGGAATCACAGCCATGGCTTTAACAAAATATTCATTCTAGCAAGATCCATCAGGCCTTGCTGTGGCTATGTGAGTTTCCCTGGGCTGTCGTAGCAAAGTGCCACAACCTGAATGATTTAAAACAACAGAAATGGCCAGGCATGCTGGTTCATGCCTGTCATCCCAGTACTTTGGGAAGCAGGGGCAATAGAATTGCCTGAATTCAGGGGTTCAAGAACAGCCTGGGCAACTTGGCGAGACCTTGTCTCTACAATAAGTCAAAAAATTAGCCGGGCATGGTTGTGCACGCCTGTGGTTCCAGCTGCTTGGAAGGCTGAAGTGGAAGGATCGCCTGAGCCCAGCTGGTGGAGGCTGCAGTGGCCTTGAGCATGCCACTGCACTCCAGCCTGGGCGACAGAGTGAGACTCCAACTCAAAAAAACAAAAGCAAAAACAAAAAAACAGAAGTGTCTTCTCTCCCAGTCCTGGAGGCCAGAGGCCTGAACTCCAGGTTCCTCCCAAAGGCCCTGAGGGAGAATCTGCCCCATGCTCTCCTACTGCTGGTAGCTGCAGCATCCCTTGGCTTGTAGATACATCACTCCAGCCTCTGCCGCCTCATCACCTAGATTTCTCTGTGCTTGTGTCTCTCTTCCAATAAGGACACCGGTCATATAGGACTTAGCGCCCACCCTAATGCAGTATGACCTCGTCTTCTTTTTTTTGAGTCGGAGGCTCAGTCTGTTACCCAGGCTGGAGTGCAGTGGCATGCTTATGGCCACCGCAGTCTCTACCTGCTGGATTCAGGCAATCCGTCCACCTCAGCCTTCCAAGTAGCTAGGACCACAGGCATACGCCACCATGCCTGGCTAATTTTTTAATTTATTATAGAGATGAGATCTCACCAAGTTGCCCAGGCTGGTCTTGAACTCCTGGGCTCAGACAATCCTCCCGCCTTGGCCTCCCAAAGCGCTGGGATTGCAGATGTGAGCTACTGCACCCAGCCTATCCTCATCTTAACTAATTACCTGTGCAAAGACCCTGTTTCCAAATGAGGTCTCATTCTTTTATTGTCCTCTGGACAAGGTCTCACTGTGTTGCCCAGGCTGGAGTGCAGTGGCACGATCATGGCTCACTGCAGCCTCAACCTTCCAGACTCAGGCCGATCCTTCTGCCTCAGCCCTCTTGAGTAGCTAGGACTACAGGCATACACCACCACACCCAGCTAATTTTTTTTTAATATATTTTTTGTAGAGATGGAGTCTCACTATGTTACCTAGGCTGGTCTCAAACTCCTGGACTTAAGCAATTCTCACACCTCAGCCTCCCAAAGTGCTAGGATTATGGGCATGAGCCACCATACCTGGCTGGTCCCATTCTTAGGTTCCATGTGGACCTGAATATGGGGGAACAGCATTCAATCCAGTACAGGGGTTAAGCCCTGTGATGTCCCCAACTGATGGACTTCCTGCTTTCAAGAAACTCACAGTCCATAGGCTGTCTCTTCATCCACTGATGGACCTGTTGCTGAGAGCTGCCATGTCTACACCTGGCCTGGGCACAAGGGAGGCCTCCCAGGCCATGAGGTTAGAGCACCCGGGTCATCCGCGGGCTGGCAGGACGGTGCCGGTTTTCTCGTTTCAGATGGCAGAGCAGCTTATGACCTTGGCCTACGACAATGGCATCAACCTCTTTGATACCGCGGAAGTCTATGCGGCTGGCAAGTACGTGTCTTTCTCATGGGAAAAGGCAGTGAGAACACCAGGGAGGAACCCAGCTCCCGGGGTCCTGCCACTCTCCTTCCCAAGCCCTCTGCCTTTTTCTTCAAACTCTAGATGGCTTTGGGAGGTCTTTTTTTTTTTTGAGTCAGAGTCTCACTCTGTCACCAGGCTAGCGTGCGGTGACATGCTCACGGCCACCCCAGCCTCCAACCTGCTGGGCTCGGGTGAGTTTTCTACCTCAGCCTTCCAAGTAGCTAGAACCACAGGCACATGCCACTATGCTCGGCTGATTTTTTGATTTACTGTAGAGACGAGGTCTCGCCAAGTTGCCCAGGCTGGTCTTGAACCCCTGGGCTCAGGCAATCCTCTCACCTCAGCCTCCCAAAGTGCTGAGGTGACAGGTGTGAGACCCCATGCCTGGAAGCTGTCATGGGGCTGGAATGACAGAACACTTGGACATGTTTACTTGCGGGAGGACCACGGTCCCTCTGGTACCAAAGATGCAAAGATGTGCTGATCCATAATTAAGCTGTTGTCACAGGCTTTCTTGACATACGGGTGACCTGCATTAGCCTCATGCACCTGTCTTGCTGGGCAATGCAGGCTGCAGGGCACGCAGGGCCCCTCGGAGCCAGGGAGGCCAGGCTCTGGCCAAGCGCTGTGGGGAGTGCTCCCATCTTGGCAGTGAACTTCCCACTCAATTATGTAAAAGCTCAGCCCTCTTCAACCAGGGCTGCTGGCTTCCATTTTAAAGCCGACTGTAATCAAATCATCCACTCTCCTGCATCGGGCTTCCAAAGTCAGCTTTTGTTTGTGAAATCATTTGCTGGCTCTCTCTCCCTGCTCCTTCTGGCCCCTCCTGGCCGGCGAGCCAAGTTCCTGTCAGCCAGGCTGGCTGCGGCCTGGCTTGCTGTGCCCTGAGGCTGTGGCATCGGCACCTGCTCAGTGGGCCCTGGGGAGTTCCCTGAAGCCTTTGCCCAAGGCCCCACCCAGAGCCTGGGAGCAACAGCCCTGGGGGCCTCCTCTGGGACTCCCAAACCTCCCCCAACCCCCTCAGCAGCCCTTCTGCCCCTCCTAAGGACGCAGCTCCTCCCACTCCCTCCAGAAGGCAGCAACTTCTCATCAGGGTGAAACCCGCTTCAGACAGAGTCAGACAAGCTAACATGAAGGGGCAGAAGTCAGCAAGCCCGTGCTGATGCCCACCCACAGGCAGCACCCAGCCTCTTCACTGGCCTGCCTCAGCCTGGGTTTTGCTGCCCAAGGGAGCATCTAGGAGGCAGCCTTGTGGACGGGACTTGTACGCTCCATGTCACAGCAGTCCCAGTCTGTTCCATGTCACTCACTGTCTCCACGCCCCCCTGTTAAGCTGGCCTCCCAGAGCTGGCGAGCTGGGCAGGCACACTGGGTCCCGGGCAGCCTCGGGGCTTCCCGGAAGCCACTTGCCAAACACTGAGGACCAGGGAGCAGCTTCCCCTCCGGTCACCATTGCTGCAGGAGCCCCTGCCCTGGCCCCTCAGCCACTGCGGCCTCTCTGTCCAGCCTGGAGCTAGCCAGCCTGTGTGCCCCCGCTGAAACCTCAGCCCAGCAGCGTCCTTCTGGGAGGCTGGGCACTGTGAGCCAGGGATGGGCAGGGAGAAACTGCTCTGGGAAGGGTCCCCGAGGGAGCCCCAGGGGTAGCGGCCAAGCACATGTCTGAGGCCCCCGCTTCTCATGCTGACACTAACTTGTGCACTTCCCAGAGACCTGCAGGATTTCTGTGTCCCCCTGGACAGAGACAAGTCCCAGTAAATTCATAGCCAGGGCCACAAGCAACAGCCATGGGTCAACTCACTACAGCTCCTGTAGCCCCAGGACACCTGCCAGCTCTTCTCTTTTCCTCCGTTGCTGATCCTTTGTCCAACAAATCCAAGACGAAGGAATACAAGCAAAGGCCCGGGCCGGGGGAGTTTTCTGTGCATCTTGACCATAAATGAGGAGCATGCAGACTGCGTGCTAAACAGCTTGCAAATCAGAGCCCATTATTTCTGAGTGGATGACTCAGGCGCTTTATAATTGGAATGTAGCACAGGGTATGGATCATTCTCCGTCTGTTGTTTTGCTCAGAAACATTCTGCTACAAGCAGAAAGTTCTCAAAAGTGAATCCAGCCCTCTATGCCAAGCGAGGCTGGAACAGCCCGCGTGTGCCCTGGCAGCCCCAGCTTGATGTGAGACACAGGGTGATGCCAAGCAGGGCAGACAGTGGTCAGCCTCGCATCTGCCTCTCTGCTATTCAAAAGCAGGAAACAGGACAGACACGTGCCACACGCGCACACACACGTGTGCACACGCACACACGCATATTGCATATGCACATGCTGTGCTGGAAATTCGGGCCCTGAATGAGTGTTGACAGTCCCAGAAAGCAGAGGATGTGCCTGATGAATAATTTACCTGTTTGGTGTTTTTGTTTTTGTTTTGAGTCAGAGTCTCATTCTGTCGCTCATGCTGGAGTGCAGTGGCATGCTCACGGCTACCGGAGCCTTCACCTGCTGGGCTCAGGTGATCCTTCCACCTCAGACTTCCAAGTAGCTGGAATTATAGGCATGCACCATCACAGTCAGCTAATTTTTTTGATTTATTGTAGAAACAAGGTCTCGCCAAGTTGTCCAGGCTGTTCTCGAACACTTGGACTCAGGCAATCCTCTCACCTCTGCCTCCCAAAGTGCTGGGATTACAGACGTGAGCCACCATTCCTGGCTTAATTTACCTCTTTAAAAAGATCCTTGGCTAGAGAGTTCACCCACCTAACGTTGCCTGGCATTTCCCCAGGGAAATGGGATGCTGGCCCTGCCTGCTTGCAGGACAGTGGCTTCTTCTGTCTCTGCCAGAGGTAGGCCATTATTGTCCAGGCAAGCAACTGCAGGGCACATGCCATAACCACCCCCAGTGAGGAAGTGACAAGTGTTCCCAGCCCCTTCTGACCAGGCTCAGGCCCTGCCTCTCTGGAATGAGCTCCCAGCCAGGGCGGGCATTAACAACCTGGCTCGCTGGCCCTAGTGGCATGTTCACAGAGGGACCAAAGTGGCCAATGGTCACGGTGGGGCTGGGTTTGATTTTTGGTTACGCTGTAATGAAATTACCATGTCTCTGCTTCATTTTGCAGGGCTGAAGTGGTCTTAGGAAACATCATTAAGAAGAAGGGTTGGAGGTAATTATTCATGGTCTCTGCTCTCTGTCCCCAGGATGGGTGGGAGGAGGCGAGGGACAGGCAGAGGCCCCAAGGGCTCCTGGGTGGGGTGGGCAGGGTCTGGGGGAGTGTTGGCTTTGACCGCTGGCAGTGAGAAGAGCACGAGCTTAGGAGTTTGCTCTTGTCAATTTACAACGGATGCCCAGGCCTTGTGCAGCCTTGTGCAGTCCCCAAATGTGACCTGCTGGGGAGTGGAAAGGAAAATTCAGTTCTCTGAGAGGAGGAGGTGACCGCTTAGGAAGGTGTCGGGGGAGACCAGCTTCATTGCCCACCCCTACCCTGACCCACCCACTCCCCCTTGTCCCAACTCACCCCCAGGGATCCAGAGGGCCAGGGTCCCTGACTGCAGCCTCAGTGCAAAAAGAGCTAGAAGTGGGAAGTCCCTGAACAGCCTGGCATGGTGGAAGCTGCAGCGGGGAACGGGGTGCAAAGGCCTCTTCCTCCGCCTGGAGCGCTAAGGCTCAGGGGAGCCAGGAGACCAGAGAAGGGACTCAGCACCAGGTGGACGCAGATTGGGCCCCACTCTCCGCCTGTGCACAGGACATTAGCAAGGGTCTCAGGCTCTCTGGAGTTCAGTGTTCTCTCTGTTAGGGGATGAGTGTCAGACCTCCCTGGTCAGTGGCCCCAGGTCTGTAAATCACCCACCCAGCTCAGGGCTGATACATTGCCCTCACCTGGGCGGTGACAGCCCTCCAGCACAGACCCCAGCTGCCTTTGTGTCCCTCGGGACTGGCACCCCAGGAGGTGATGGATCCCCAAGGGGGCGGATGGGGAGCCCGTTCACCCTGGTATCCCAGGAGCCTGCAGGCCCTTCTCAGACAGAGGTCCCACCCCCTCCTTGGGCTGGCTGAGCTGAGCCCCCGCCTGCACTCTGGGGCTCCCCAGCCCCTGGCCATAGCTCATCCAAAGGGGACCACATGTCTATTTTCAGAGCTGTCAGGAGCAGTTACACAACTGGGCCCCCTTCCCAGCCCTGCGCCTCTCAGAACTCCAGCACCCTTGCTGGCATCCTCCACCCTCCGACTTGGACCCCTGACATGCCTCCTCTTGCCCCATCAAAGTTGTCGCTTCTCAGCATAACGGACCTGAAATAAATTCCTCCCCACCCCATAATTAAAGGAAGGGCACATGTTGGCGGATCCCCTGGCCATCACAGGTGGACATGTACAGGGTACACACTGGACTACCCCTCGCCTGGGGGTAGCATGGCCCCTGCCAGGTCTTGGCAGTGGGTGGTGAGGAGGCCTCTCTGCTCTGGCCTTGACTTACCAGCTTCTGACCCGGAGGGAGAGAAACACAGCTGTGGGAGGTCATCGTCACCCCCTGGGGAGGGTATATGCTCCCTTGGGAAGGGTAAACTTCAAACGTGGCTGGGAGGGGCTGTCATCACCCCCCAGCCTGCCAGAGCGGAGCCATTTGCTTCCCGTGGCCCCAAGCCTGAGAAGTGAATTCCTCCCCTTTCCCCTGCTCAAGCCCACCCCCTCGGCGTGCTCAGCCTCAGTCACCCAGACCCATCAGCGTGGCCAGGCCTGGGCTGCCCGTGCCTCCGTCCTGCCCCCAGGCTCACCCCCACCAGGCATCCCACTCGGATTTCCTGAAACACCAGTCCCATTTAGTAGGGGATGATCCAGACAGCATGGCCCCTTGCCCCACCTCTTTCCATCTTCGGCTCATGCCAAGGACCCCCCAGAGTCCGCCCTCTGCCCACCGGCCCATGCCTGACCTCGGACCAGGGCTCCTGCGTTCCCTCTGACCAAGTCCATGCAGCCCTCGAATGCCCTGCACCACGGCTCCCTCCTGGCTTCTGGTGACATGGCTCATTAGGGGCACCAGTGACTGTCTCCGCTCCACGGGGACCCCAGGCTTGTCACGTGGTACACACTGAGTGACAGAGGAACTCCCATGTCACGCCCCGGCTCCTAGGTGGGAAGGCTTTTAGGACCCGTGTGAGAGATGAGGACGTGGGGCATGAGGGAGGACCCCCCCAAGGGCGTGGCCTGCTGACGCCCTCCCTTCTCTTCTGTTCTGCAGACGGTCCAGCCTCGTCATCACCACCAAGATCTTCTGGGGCGGAAAGTAGGTGCCGTTGCAGGCGATGCCCCTAGCCAGGATCGAGTGGCCGCTGTACCACATTCTTCAGAATCTCCTGATTTAGGAGGCTCCTGGGGGCTGAGGCGGGGCACAGTCGTCCTTGAGAAGGGAGGGTGTTCAGAATTCGTCCTGCGCAGGCCTGGGCCCAGGGCCGTTTCCTGTTCCCCATGCCCAACAGCTGCCTGCTGTGGCTGGTGCCCATCCCGAAGAGACGTCACATGCAGAAAAGAAGCTTTGGCCCAGTTTTCTTTTACTCAGACCTCATTTAATTTTGAATTTCATTTACATGAATTTTTTTTTCCTGACTACAGAGGTAACGCCATAAAAATTCTGGAAAACACAGAAAACGTGTGAACTGTCCAAACCACTCTAGACTCCCTGGGCTGCTGGTCTTCCCTACCAGCCTCCAGGTGTCTGGCTCTATGTTCCTCCTGGGGCTGGACAGACTTGGGTTCGTAGGAATTATAAATATGATTCATTCTTCATTTTTTTTTAATTAAAATCCATACCAAACAGAAGGGTAAAGCTGAGAAACAAAAACTCCCGTCTCCCACTGCCACCCTGCCTCCCCCAGCCCTGCGACCGGGCCCCTCCGGGCCCAGAGCCTCGGGTGTTTACCCCAGAGTGGGACTGCTGGCGTTGCCGTCCCGCTTTTCCCACCTAACGTTGCGTCACAAATATGCTCCCCCAAACCGCCTGCAACGTCCCACATGCTGTCGGCCTGTTTTTCAGGGCCGAGACCGAGAGGGGCCTTTCCAGGAAGCACATCATAGAAGGTGAGAACGGGCTCCGGCAGGACAGAGCCCCAAGCCCACGGGATCACCCCGGGACGCCGAAGTGAGGAAAGCACAGGGTCCCACCCACCGGTTACGCAGCAGAGGGCCCAGCCTGGACACCCGCTGCTCTGGCCTGACCCTCTCCATCCCCCCTAGGCAGGCACAGGGACCCTGCACAGAGGTGGGATGGCACCGTGGCTGGACACAGATGGGCCTGGGTTTCACTCCAGGCTTGGACTCTTCCTGGCTGAGTGGCCTCAAGCGAGAGGCATCTCTTCCCCAGGCTTGTGTCGCACTTCAGTAAAATGCACTTCAGGGTCCCCCAGGACTGTGGGAAGCCAAAGAGCCCAGGAAGAGCGGCACCCACAACCCAGGCTACACACTTGGAGTGCCTGGGTGGGCTGGGGGGGCTGATTGGCTAGCCCTGTGCTGTGTCTTCCCATCGTTGAAAATCACCCTTTGGGAGGCCGAGTTGAGTGGATTGCCTGAGCCCGCGGGTTCAAGACCTGCCTGGGCGGCGAGACCTCATCTCTACAATAAGTCAAAAAATCAGCTGGGCGTGGTAGCGCATGCCTGTAATTCTGGCTACTTGGAAGGCTGAGGCGGAAGGATCACCGGAGCCCAGCAGGTCGAGGCTGTGGTGGCCGGGAGCGGCCACTGCGCTCCAGTCTAGGCGACAGAGTGAGACTCCAACTCAAAAAAAAGAAAATCACTAGGGGCCAGGCATGGTGGCTCATGCCTGTAATCCCAGCACTTTGGGAGGCGGGGGTGAGAGGATTATCTGATGTCAGGAGTTCAAGAATAGCCTAAGCAACATGGTGAGACTTCGTCTCTACAATAAATTAAAAAATTAGCCGGGTATGGTGGCGCGCACCTGTGATTCCAGCTACTTGGAAGGCTGAGGCAGAAGGATCATGTGAGCCCAGCAGGTCAAGGCTGTGGTGATAGTGGCCATGAGTACACCACTGCGCTCCAGGCTGGGTGACAGCGAGACTCTGACTCAAAAAGAGAAATCACTAGGGGCCTTGCTGGGCCCCACCCTCCTCACCTCCAAATCCAGCATTTCCCCTGTTTCTCTGTGAGCTGCTCAAAGTACCAGTTGGGAGTTGTGTTTTAGACACTGTCACCTTCCATGTGACAGACGACAGGTGTAGCCTCCCTCTACGTGTAACGGAGTTGCCCCTGCTGAAACACAGGCCACCAGAAGGCTCAGGAACGGCCCCGGAGGAGGGTGGGCTGTAGGGGGTCCCCTTTCATTCTGTCACAGGCCACCTTCCTGTGGGAGGGAGCCCCACTCCCTGTGGCATTTCACAACCTCCCCGGCTGTCCTGAAGCTCCCAGCTGCCCGGGGCCACTTGTCCCCACACCTGGTTCCCTGAGCCGGGCCCAGGGAGAACCCAGCTACGTTCATGAAGATGTGGTGGCAGAAGTGATGCCCCCTCTGGTCTTTCGGCAGGTCTGAAAGCATCTCTGGAACGACTGCAGTTGGAGTACGTGGACGTGGTCTTCGCCAACCGTCCAGACCCCAACACACCCATGGAAGGTAGATGGTCCGCGGGCGTGCCTGCAGGTGGGGCCTGGGCGGTAGACGAAGGGGCTGAGGCTCTGCTGGCCTCCAGCACGGGCTCCTCGGGCATCCAGGTGGTAAGCGGAGGCCAGGCTGGTGGGGGGAGCCTTCCTCGAGGTGGCGGTGAGCTCCACCTCTGGTTGTCGGGGCCCCCCATTGGATGCACCCTGGCACCTCCCGGCGGGGTCCCTGTCCTTGCTCTGGGTCCAACCTGGCCGTTCCAGACCCTCGCTCCCTCCTGGGTTTGGAACCCAGTGGAATGTTCTCCCCACTCCACTGTCACTGTTTTGTAGCTAAATGAAGCTGTAGTATGAGGACGCCACACTGTGGAATTCTTTTCAATCATGTCCACGGGGGCGGGATTCTTAGGGGTCTGCTTTGCTCTGGGAGACAAGTGATTACACAGAGGAGAAAAGTCGTCCGGTGTCAGAGCTGCGGTTTTGGTTTCTTTGGCGTTTTTTATTCTTTCGATTCCCGTGGTCACAGCCCCTCCCGCTCCAGGCATCTCTTCATTTGTGCTTTGCTGCTTCAGGGGCTTGGAAAATTAAGTTGCGTTTCAGTTATTTTTTTCTTCATTTGTTTATATATACAATGACACGCACGCGTGTGTATATATTTTTCTTTTATGACAAAACGTGTATTCTGCACACGGTGATTTGCACCTCCCTCCAGCCTGTTGCGCCTCCCGGTGTTTCCACAGCGATAAACTCTGGTCTCTTTAAATCTTTCTTTTGTCGCCAGGGGACCCATTTAGTTCCTCCAAGTCCAGGACATTCATCATAGAAGGTACACAGGGCCCTCAGCCCAACTGGTGACTTCTGGGCCCACGCTGCATTTTATGAGATGGTGTTTTTATCTACACGGCTCTCACCCCCTTCCAATTCTCCATAAAATGCATAAGGGGAAAGGTCCAGGGGAACCTCTGGCAAGTGAAGGGAGGCGCAGGGTCCCCTTCTGTGCATGACGCCCCGCTCGGGCTTGCGCTGCTGCCGTCCGCGGTGGCTAGCCGGCCATCTGCCGGGGCTCCTCCGGGTCTGAGGACGCTGTGGTCCCACCTGGCCCCTTGGCCCTGGATGGTGCGATGGGAAGGGCTGGGAAAGACGAGGCGCGAACCCGTCAGGTACCCAGAATATGTGACACATCCCCTCCGTAGTTCCTATTCGCAAGGGACACCCGCCACACACTGTCCACTCACAGCCTGCTGCTTCTCAGTGGGCTCACCGGCTGTGTGTCCCCTCCGTGGGCTGGGTCCTCTGCCCTCCGACCTCATAGCCAGACCTCTCCATCAAAATGGAGTCATTCTCCTCCCAAGGGAACAGCCACCGGTGTGGGCAGAGTGCTGAGCGTAAGGGCAGCCTCTGGCCACACGCCGTCTCTCTGCCCTCAGCTCAGGGCCCTGGACCCCACCCCACAGGCATGCCTGGTCCCCCTGGGAGCTGGCTGTGTTCCACAGTGGACGGGCTCCTGCCTGCCACCTGGTGCTGCCATCTGACCCCTCCCATGTATTATTTGTGACACGGCAGGAGATGCCCTGGGTGTGGGCAGCAGCTGGATGGATTCAGTCCTCCTGCTTCTGTTCGACAGCATTAAATATTGAGGTGAACGGCACTTGTTCCAATTGTCCCTGTATCTGGGGCCACTGATGCCCTCACTTGGGCACAAGCTCAGAGTGCTCCTGCCTGTGGGTCACGTCTGACCTGCCTCTGCCAGATCCTCCGGGGCCCAGAAGCTTTTGCTGGACCTCCTCTAAGGACAGTTAGAGGCTTCTGTGGGCTCCTGCCCGCCTGCCCTACCTCCCCATCACTGCATGGAAGGGGCGCTGTGGGGCATCCCACGGTTTCACTGGCTGGTACCTTCGTGATGGGAGACTGGGAGGGAGATTAGGGGGGAGGGGCTGGCCATGGGGGCCTCTGCTTCCTCCCTCTGGCATGTGGACCTAAGCCTTGGCTGAGAAGAATTGGGAAGGTATGCTGCATGGTCACACGTGCCCGAGAGTGTTTCTAAAAGACTTCACAAGGCTGATCCAGCAGGAGCCTGGGCCCGAGATTAGGATGTGGTCAGAGACCCTCCTGGGACCCTCTGCTCCTCCTCAGACCTTTCAACCAGGCACCGTCCTCTTTCTTAAAGTTTGTCAGTGTTGGCACTTTGGGAGGCCAAGGCAGGAGAATTACTTGAGGCCAGGAGTTTGAGACCAGCCTGGGTGACATAGCGAGACCCTGTCTACAAAACATTTAAAAATTAGCCAGGCATGGTGACTCGCACCTCTAGTCCCAGCTACTTGGAAGGCTGAGACAGGAGGATCAATTGATCTGGGAGGTAAAAGCTACAGTGAGCTATGATTGCACCACTGCACTCTAGCCTGGACAACAGAGCAAGACCTTGTGTCTAAAGAAACAAAAACAAAGACTGTCAGTGTTGGTAGTTAAAGCAGGTGGCTCAGGGAGGTTCAGACTCCTTCCCAAATCCCCACCCCCAGGATTCCCAGGAGCCTGACTGTGGGAGGAAGCAGAGGGTAGGACCAAGCTTGCGGATATGGAAGCTGAGGTGTGATTTTCAGGGGTCCTGGGAAACCTGCTGAGACCAACGCCTAGAAGCCCCTGCAGCCTCCACTCCAGCCCTTAGGCTGCCCTGAGTTCCACTCAGGGTGACCTCAGCAGAGGGGCGCCAGGGACCCAGGATGGGTGGGAAGGCATGCCCTCCGTGACAGGTGGACAGGCAGCCAGCAGGGCCACTCTATGCCGGGGAAGGCTCCCAAGGCCTCGTGGCCATTCCAGGTGGAGCTTTCAGACAAACCCAGCTCTCTGCACCCTCCCCTAAGGAACGTCAGAAGCTCCTGCGGGCATGGAAGGGACCCCATGGGGCACCCCGTGGTTTCACTGGCTGGTACCTTTGTGTCCCACCCCCGACCGTTTTGGAGACCCCCAGCTTCCCCACAGCTGCAGCATAGAAGGAACAAGCCACTTAGGGAGAGGCAGGGACTTTCCGGGGCCACTGTTGTCACGTTGTTTTTAGAAACACTTTTCCCCCACTTTGACTTCCCACACTGCCTTTGGTGGTCGAACTTGCAAGCACTGTATCGACCACGAGAACCTGACGGACAGTCCCACACCCCGCAGAGCTAAGCGGCGTCTGAAATTGGAAAAGTGGAGGACAATTCTGTTTTTTAAATCACAACATCCCCCCGAGACTGAAGCAGCTGAGTTGGAACAATCGCTGGCAGATTTTTATGTCTCGAGAACATTTTTGAGTACAAGGAAGACTATTGTGTAATTCTATTACTTAAAAGGATGACTCGGGGTGGCAGCCATCCTTAGGACCGGGTAGGTGACAGCAAACCAGGATTCAGGTGGTTCCTGGAATCTGTAGCCTCAAAACAGCCCCACTCCAGCCCTTGGCCCCTGGTAGGAGGAGTGTCCAGAACCTGCGCCCCTGGGCCACCCCATGCGGGAAGCGGGGACTGCATCCTGGTACCCGGCTGGTGCGAGCCTGGCCGTGGTCCCTATGTGGCTCTCCACGCTTGCCTCTGGGCGTCCTGGATGTGAGAGGCACTCAGCCCTGCAGCCCCACCCTCTGAGACCATGCGCTGCCCTGAGGCCTGCCGTCTGTCCCTACAGATGCCACCATCCCCTCTCCACCCAGTTCTCTAGACTCTAGAGCCCAGAGCAGGAACCAGAAACAGGCAAGAGCAAGTGTCCTCCCATCGCCTCGAGCCAGTCTGCCTGTCACCTTCATCCTTTCGGAGTGATCGGGGTCCCTGACCCCCCCCCCGTTCTAGAGTCTTGAGTCCCATGCTTTGATCTCATCTTGCCATCCCTCTAATCTGCCATGGAAACATCACCATCCGTCTATCACCCATTTCCCCAGGATTCCGTGCAGCCTGTGTCTAGCAGGGGAAACTGCTCTCACGACAGCTTCTGGGATGGCAGGCCAGCTTCTCTGTCACCCTCCCATGCCCTCTCAGAGCCAGGAAGTACACTGCTTGCAAGACGTCTTTGCAGCCCCTCCCTCCCTGGCATCCCACCTGCACCTGCAGAATGTCCCAGGCTGGGCCTCATGCCCCGGCTGTCCCCCACCTGGAGTTCCCTTCTCTCCTGACAGAGACTGTCCGCGCCATGACCCACGTCATCAACCAGGGCATGGCCATGTACTGGGGAACGTCGCGCTGGAGCTCCATGGAGATCATGGTACGGTGACTGCTTGGTGCACGTGTCCATGGCGTGGGCTGCTGGCCCAGCCGTGTGGAAAGATCCCTGGGCTCGGGCAGGTTCTGCGCTGTTGGTCCCAACTGTGCAGTAGCCAGGCACTAAAAGGGGGACAGCATGGCAAAGTTGGGGGGTTATGTCTGCAGGCCTCACAGACACGGGGCTCGTTGTGATCCTGACATTGTATGGCGCTGGACAGATTTCTTAACCTCTCTGTGCCTCAGTTTCCCTACCTGTGGAATAAGTGTGCTAGCATGACCCCTCAAGAGGCTGTTCTGAGGATGCCAAGAGAACCCTCTTAGCAGAGGTCCCAGAGCTCAGCAAACATCCAACAGCGATAACACTGCCAGTCTCTTGCGCTGCGCTTTTCTGATGCCCCAGGTACTGACGTTAAGATGTGGACATTGAGGCACAGAGAAATTAAGTAACATGCCCAAGGTCACACAGCTCAGGCAGAGATTGACCCCTGGGCTGTGCAACTCAGAGCTGGGGCTGCCCCAGAACATGATCTGGCCTTTGGGACCCCAGGCTCCCATCTCATCACTCAGGGTATTTCCCCCTCACCTGCATTCTCAGGAAGGAGTCCACTAGCTGTCATTTTTCTCCATGGGAGTGGGAAGAGGCTGAGGGCGGGGTGGTTTCTTGATATTTCCGGGGTCTCTGGGAAGGGCCAGCAGGTTGCCCTGATCTCAAAGGCTGAGAGTGGAGGGTGCGGGAGAGGGAGAGGCCTGGGCTGGCCTCTTGGCTGAATGGCTCTCCTGGCCTCCAGCCTCCAGCCCCAGGCCAGCCTCAGTCCTTCCCATGCCCGCCTCCCAGATTCCCAGCATCCCAGTCTTGCTGGGAGGTAGCTTCTCTTCTAGCAAGACCCAGAGTTCTGCTTCATGAAAGATGTTCAGCAAGATTTTCATTTCAAATTAAATATGACCATAGAAGCCCCAATATCAATAGGCCTCTGATGTTTGTGGCAGTAATGGACATTTATTCTACATTTTTCTGGAGCTGTCTGAAGCCAGCACTGAGCGTGAAGACGTGTCACTCTCATTACCCCCATTTCACAGATGGGAAAGCTGAGTTTCAATCCAAAGGGGAAAAGGACCTCAGGTGGCCGCAGGGCTTCCCCATGAGTGTCTAGAGGCATCAGCCTGGCCCACACCCATCCGGTGGAGGCAGCAAGAGAGTCTGTCCAGTAGAGGCCTTGAGATCCAATCACAGAAATGGGTGGATGCCCGCTGCTGTCCCCTCCTGACCTAGCGTCTCCTGCCATCATCCCAGACCCAGGCCCCAGGGTGGTGGTCACAGTATACACTGTCGGAGCGCAGCCAGCAGGCCCAGTGCTCACCTGATACCAGGACTGCTGTGAGGGTGCAAACACCCTTGACTCCTCTGACACTCTTGATAGATGGGGAAACTGAGGCTGAGGAGTGAGCCCCTTGCCCGAGGCCACCTAGCCAGCAAGTGCCAGGACCCTAACCTCACTACTGCATCGGGCATCCCACGGGCCCTTCAGCCTGGGAGCCCCAAGACCCACCCCCTTTTCTGGGCTCGCAAGCTCTCACAGGCTTCTAGGAGAGCTGTGAGTGCTGGGGCCTGGGTGGGAGATGCCTCGGTGTCCCGTCCCCTGCTGCCCCTGCATCTGCCTAGGCCCTCTGACTGGCAGGGGCCACCTGGGCCCCTTCTTGCCCCCACAGGAGGCCTACTCAGTGGCCCGGCAGTTCAACCTGATCCCACCCATCTGCGAGCAGGCCGAGTACCACATGTTCCAGCGCGAGAAGGTGGAGGTGCAGCTGCCTGAGCTGTTCCACAAGATAGGTGGGCACCGGCCCTGCCCCCGCCCCCCTCCTGCCCTCAGGCTGGGGCTTGACTTTGCTTGGTTTCCTCTCTCAGGAGTGGGCGCCATGACCTGGTCCCCTCTGGCCTGTGGCATCGTTTCCGGAAAATATGACAGCGGCATCCCACCCTACTCGAGAGCCTCCTTGAAGGTGAAGGAGTGGCTGGGAGGCGGGGCAGGGGTCGGGGAGGGGACAGGCACTTTGGAGAGGTGGGACCTTGGGGCAGGCTGCCTTGGTACTGGGCGGGGCTTCCCCAGGCCACGGCTGCCCCCGCCTCTCGGCCAGGGCTGGCTTCCTTGGCAAGAGAACACGGAGCCCCTTCTGGGCTGACCCCGGGTCTGGAGAGGCCAACTCCCTTGTGGGATGTGCCCCAGAGGGGGAGCCCTCTTCATGCGCCCACCTCTGCTCCCCACTGTGGTTCAACCTTCAAGCGTGGGCTGGATCCGAAGTGACATTTGGGGCACCCCTGGACACTCCCCCACTCTCCACCATCACTGAGACCTCCGGAGCTAGACCCAGGGCCTAGGGCTGCAGAGTTGCACAGAGGCGACCCCGGGAATGGCCACCTCCTCTCCCATGCTCCCCTCTGGGGTGAGGACTAGGGCAGAATAAGGAGCAGGCCGGCAAAGGCCTGCCCAGCCAGCCTGACCCCTTGCTGGAGCCCCCAGCCCTGGGGTTCCATGCCTGGCCCTCCACTTCTTCCCAGCCCACAGAAAGGGCAGGGTGCCCCTAGAAGGCCCTGCAATCCTGGGGGCAGGGCCCAGGGAGACTGCCCTGGGGTCGGGGGAGGCCACCAGGCTTCCCGGGAGAGGGGAGGTCAACCCCCACCTCCCTGTCCTGGTTCTGGGGTCTGGCCAGCACCCCGCAGGCTGTGCGTTCTAGTGTGGGCATGCCCGTCCTTCTGCTGGCCAAGGTCCACTGCCCTCCCTGCCCTGTAGCGTAGGTGGGTGCTACTCGGCCTCCAGGTGAAGGCTACAGCTAGGGAGAAGGACCAGGAAGGACGCAGACCGTCAGCCATCTGCGTGTGGAGGTCCAGGTGACCGTCCTTTCACCTGTGGCTGTGCCCCTCTCCCAACCAGGGCTACCAGTGGCTGAAGGACAAGATCCTGAGCGAGGAGGGTCGACGCCAGCAGGCCAAGCTGAAGGAGCTGCAGGCCATTGCCGAGCGCCTGGGCTGCACCCTGCCCCAACTGGCCATCGGTGAGGGGCTGGGGTCTCCATGGGGCCGGCATCCCTGGGGAGAAGGTGGGGTTCCTGAACGTCTGGGCTGCATCTTGCCCCAGCTGGCCAGAGGTGAGGGGCTGGGGTTGCCATGGGGCCAGCATCCCTGGGAGAAGGTGGGGTCTCTAAGCGCCCGGGGTACACCCTGCCCCACTGGCCAGGGGTGAGAGGCTTGGGTCACCGTGCAGCCAGCATCCCTATGCTGGAGAAAGATGCGGGATTCCCCAAACAACATCCCCCAGCTGGGCACAGGCAATGGGGCTCTGAGGGAAAGGGTTGTATCCCATGACCCTGGGGAGATGACCCTCATCCCAGGTCTTGCTGCCCCCAGCCTGGTGCCTGAGGAACGAAGGGGTCAGCTCGGTGCTCCTGGGGGCGTCCAACGCAGACCAGCTCATGGAGAACATCGGAGCAATACAGGTGAGGGGCGTCGCAGGCAGAGCTCCACTCCTGCCACTCGGTCCAGTGCATTTGTGGAGCTCCTCTGCACGCCAGGCTCGGTCTAGGCACGGGGGTCACGCCTTGGCTCACCAGAGAGCCTCAACAGGGACCCAAGGGAAGGAGGAGGTTATAATATGTGCTGGGAGTGACGAGCACTGTGGGAAGGAAGTCAGGGACGGGGAGGCGGGACAAGGCAACTAGGGACAGGAAGTGGTTGCTCCTCGGACCCAGTTTAAAGGCAGCTGTCTGGCTGGACATTGTCATCCCAGCACTTGAGGATCACTTGAGCCCCAGGAGTTTGAGATCAGCCTGGGCAACATAGCAAGACTCCATCTCTACAAAAAAATCAAAATTAGCCAGACGTGGTGGTGCAGACCTGTAGTCCAAGCTGCTGGGGAGGCTGGAGCAGGAGGATCGCTGAGCCCAGGAGTTTGAGGCTGCAGTGAGCCATGATCATACCACTGCCCTCCAGCCTGGGCGACAGAGCAAAACTCTACTTTTTAAAAATTAAGTCAATAAAAGGGGTCTTGTCAAGTGAGCTTGTTGAGAAAGTGGTGTTTGAGCAGAAGCTTGAAGAGGTGCAGAGTGAGCCATGCAAACCCATGGGGGAAGAACCTTCCAGGCAGCAGGAACGGCCAATGCAAGGGCCCCAAAAGAGGGAAAAGGGCTGTGGGCCTGGAGCAGAGGGTCAGACCCTGAGAGTGTTGTGCCCCCTAGGGACGTGTTTCTTCTGAGATGGGAGCCATGGCAAGATCTTGAGCAGAGGAGGGGATGCCCCAGCTTAGCTTTTCAAGGGAGCCTTCTCTCCCGAAGCTAAGGAACTTGGTGGGAAATGACAGCCGTCTCCTGGGGAGAGGTGGCTTTGGTTTGGAGATGGGAGTGGTGGTTGGATCCTGGGTGTTGGGAAGGTGCGGCCATTGGGACTGGCTGGTGAGCCGGACACCGGGGTGAGCCAGAGCAGAGCCAAAGTCACCCTGGGGCTTCTAGCACGTGAAAGGGGGGCATGGCGGGTTGTCGAGACAGGCATGGCTGGGAGAGCAGTTTGAGAGCACAAAAACCAGGTGTTTGGACCTTGGAATCATGTGCATTTTAAGCCACTGTTGCCATCACCAGAACCTTTCAGAAGGTTCTGAAGCACCCTGGAGTTTAAGGGGGAGGGTATGGACCCAGGCATGCTTCCTCTCTGTCCAGACTTCTGGAACCCTGAAACAGCATCCTCTGTCTGCATCACTTGGGGCCCAGATGCAATGATGAGGACGGGCCTGGACCAGGCTGGTCTCGGTGCCCAAGAATTCTGCTTCTTGTCCTTGCAGGTCCTCCCCAAACTGTCATCTTCCACCATCCATGAGATTGATAGTATCTTGGGCAATAAACCCTACAGCAAAAAGGACTACCGATCCTAAGACGCCCCGCCCGCCTGCTCGGACAGTTTCCGTTTCCCTCCTAGTCTCTGTTCGCTCGCTTAAGCTGTTTTGAAGCCAAGTGCAGAGTGTGGTTTGCATCAAAGAGAAACACCACGCCGTGACGTCATCGGGACATAAACTCCCAAGTTGCTGCCAGACACCACCCACTGCTTCGCCAGACAACACGGAAGTCGGATCTGTGCCGGGGCTGCTGTTGTTTAGGAAGGACATTCAGGCAGTCCCACCCAAGCCCGTCGCCGCCGCCCATCCTCCAGGGAGAGACCACCCAGCTTTCTCCGAGCCACAGCCTTCCCCAGAGATCCCCAGAGTCAAAGCCAGGCCAAGGGCTAGCTGGATCCCCGGGGCAGGCAGGGCCCTCCTCTCCTCTGCTGAAAACTCCCACCCAGTGTTGGGGGAGGGGAGAGGGGTCTGGCCCTTCCCAGGGGGGCCCCCTCTGCCAGGGTCCTGTAGCTGGGTCAGGGTCTTCCCACAGGGGTCTTCCTCAACCTCCTCCTTTCCAAGGGCTCCAGGTACTTTCTGGGGGGCCTGACCCCAGATTCCTCCCCTGCCCAAGCTGCCCAGTGGATCTCAGCAGGGGCCACGTCTACAAGCTGACCCTTGACCCTCACACCCACCACAGGGGACTGGCTCTGCAATTTGGGACCCCCAAGAAGCACAAGGTCCGGTTTCTAGCTCACTGTCCCACCCTGCACACCAACAATGAGCCTCATGACAGGGAAGCTGAGTGCAGGGGGCCCAATGACGGAAGGCCCTGTGGTTGGTTGTGCACTCTTAGCTAGATGGGGGCTGCTGACCACAGCATGGGCAGGCAACAGCGGGCAGGGCCCGTGTGCACAGGGCCATGTTCCTCTTGGTCCCTGGAGACCCTCTTCCAGCCTCCCACCCCTACCCAGGCCTCTGTTCTGCACCGGGAAGGTGAGCTTGGGTTTTGCAGAGACACCCCACTGAGATCCTTTCAGTAAGCCAGTGTCCCTGGGGTGTTCTGTGCTGCAAGCCCAGGGGCTAGGGGCTGTTTCCCCCGCTGCAGCCCCCTGAAATGGAGGAACAGACCTCAGGAAACCCCTCCCTGGAGAGATGGCTGGGCTAGTCATCCCCTTCCACACCCCCCACCTGGAACGGAATGGGAGAGGGAGGGAGGGCCAGGCCCAAGTGCAGCCTGGGGCTGGGCGAAGGGTGAAGCCACAAAGTCTGCAGGGGTGGGGGCTCCACTCAAAGGCCCAGTCCTGGGGTCCCAGCATTTGCCAGTGAAAGGGAGGCAGGCTCCACAGAACCCGTCCCCGCCCTGCACTTCGCCAGCTGGCTCTGTAGGGGACCTGGGCCTCCTGCCCCCCGGGGCACCCCCCTGCGTGGGCACATCTGCTCCCGCCTTGCCCTGGGATGCGCTGCTGTTCCCAGCGGGCCCCGCCCTGCTGTTCTCCAAGGGCTGCGAAGCCACAGAGACCAGGGAGAGGGGCCGAGGGGGAGGGGCGTGGCTTCCTCCATTCCTGACCCACTTCTGACCTGAAGGCGAGAACCTCTGCCCCTCCTCGTAGACCCAGCCCCTGGGGTCTTCTCCACCAAGACCTGCTCCAGCTTGGCCAGAAGCCGCCCCGGGGGCACGGGAAGGGGGCAGCACCCCACAGGACAAGGCCCTGCAGTGGCCAGTGGTGCTGAAGGGATAGAGGGCCCCCTCCCCCTGCGGACAGGGAGGGCGGCTGGGCCTGTCCACACAGCTGCCCTGGCCCTTCCTACAGCTGGGACGTGGCCCAGAGCCTGCGGTGGCTCCTGCGGTGGGGGCCGCTGCTCCCGTGAGCCACGACTGGGAACGCCGAGTCCCCTGCGAGGCCAGGGCCCCAGCGCAGGACCCAGGCAGCCCCTGGCCCAGCTCCCACAACCTGGTCTGAGGTTCCCCGTTTCTTCCACATCCTCCTGCAGGCAGGATGGGGGGGCTCTGCCTCCTGGGGGCGGGTCCCCCAGCTCAGGAGGGGGCAGAGCGGGGGAGGGGTGTTGGATGGAGAAGGGACAAAGGCCAAGGGCGGTCGGAGCCCAGACCCAGAGGAGTCCCCTACACCCCGTTTCCCACCCTGCCTTGTGGGCAAGTCCCGGGTCCAAGGAATGGCGGGGCTTTCTCCTGTCTTCTGCCCCGGCCCAGTCCTGTAAATAACGTGCTTTTTCTCTCCCCCGCCTTTTTTTTTTAACAACCATGGTTCCTCCGCTAATCGCATCCCCTCCCAGGCAGAGACTGCCACATGCCTTGAGCTTCCAAACGAGACTCAGACCGAGACACGGCCACCATATTTATGGAATGACAAAATAAAGCCCAAGTCCATCGGTCTCCGCGCCTTTTTGGTACCTCTCATTTCCTCGGAGTCAGGACAGCACAGGAGGAGGGAAGAGGCTTTGACTGCAGGAACTTGGGCACCAGGTCCTCCCCGAAACCTGAGCCTGCAACCCAGGGTGGGTGGGGAGGAAGGGGCCGGGCAAGAGGCGGTGATCGGGCACAGAGGCTGGGGACGGGGTGGTCAGAAGGATGCAGCCAAGGGGTCCTGGGGGTGGGATGCCTCCTCGGCTGCCCCCAACACAGTCTCTGTGGCCACCTCCAAGGGCCCCAGGCCGGCTCTGGGAAGCCGCTGTACCCTCCGGGGAGCCAGCTGGTAGCTGCTCTCGCGAGGACAGCAGTCAGGGCCTGAGGAGTCCCAAGAACTGTCACGGCGTGTACAAGTACGGGTAAGGGGGCGGGGCCCCAGCACACCCTGCCCAGGCAGCCCTTCCCAGTGAGCCCAGGTGGGAGAAGTCCAGGAGGCACCCCCATCCGGCTCCCGTTCTGAATCTGTACAGAGCTTTTAAAAACACTCTTTGATTCAATCCTTTCCCGAAGGATTTATTAAAACACAGAAAACCAAAACATACACACAGAGTACGAAGTAAAGGTGACTGTGTCAGCTACAGTCTGTCCAGCCGCTCCCGAGGGTGCATGGACAAGTCATGACTCACGGGGGGCTCAGCGTGGCCCCCGGACCCTCCTGGCTTGCCCGAAATGCCCAGCCCCTCCTCAGGCCAACCTGAAGCTGTGCCTGGGGCAAGGGGCCAGCCGCTCTTAGCTGGGCCAGGTGCAGGGCCTGGGCGGGTGGGGTCCACTCTCTCCACACCCCCAAGCTCAGACCCCACGGGCAGGCGGGACCCCTCCCTCCTTTCCAGGGAGGCTCGGGTCCCATCTCTATGTGAGGAGTTCAGGACACACATACACACCCAATGGGCCCTTTCTGGGTTATCGCACCTAAAAAAATACTTTGTTTTAAAAAAACCTGAAAAGGGAAAAAAATCCAAAAACACAATGCCAATGACTTTGGGCTGATGCACCACCTGTAAACTTTCGGACATACGAAACAGGCCGGAGCCAGCTTCCGGGTCTACACAGAGAGCCTGGGGCATGGACCATCTGCCAAGACCTGGGTGGAGGGAGTGTCAGTCCCGCCCCCCTTCAAGCCCCTCTCCTTGCCCGCTGTGCCTCAGCACACACTGCAGGCTGCATGTGACCAACCTGACCAGCCCAGCTACCAGCTCCCAGGTCCCCGAGCCCACCCTCCCAAGCCTGCTTTGGGCCTTTACATGTTCTGGGACCGGAGACAGGAACAGGGGCTGCAGCTGTCACTGGGCCAAGCCTGGGCCAGCCCCTGACCCAGGCAGAGGAGCACCCAGAGGACTCTTGGGAAGGCAACCCTGACAAGGAGGAGGACCCTGGTCGTGCCAGACAGGGAGGGTCCAGGCCTGGGAGAAGCCAAAGTTGTAGAAAACAAAGGAGCATCCGAAGGTGGCCTTCAGGAGGAGAGAGATGCTTCTGAGTCCGGCGTGTACCAGAGGAGGCTCCCAGACTGAGACTCCAACCCGCACACCTGCATCACCACGAGAGTCCACCGGGCAATGCCTTCCGAGACCTTTGGCCCAAAGGTGCTTCAACAGAAACCCTACTCAGCACTGGTTAAATAATAAAGTGGCTGGAAACATAAACACACAGGCTGGCGCTCCAGGATCACACTTGTGCACAAGGACCCTGATTCTGCCAACAAAGTCAAACCCAGCCCGAAGATGCCAGAGACATGGACATCACCTCGTGCCCCCACTTGTGACAGGAGACAACAAACCAAGACGACAACATTCTTCAGATTCTTTCTCCTCTCCAAAACAGATCAACCAGAAACTTGGTCCCCAACACTGGGTGGCCCTGCTCTTGGGGCCGCTGGGTGCCGACCACGGGTGGAGACTACGGCCCCTCCTGGACCTGGTGGTGCAGGGGTCCCAGGCCAGGTGCTCAGGTCAGGCTTCGCATGGGTGCTCGCCTCGAGCCTGGCAGGGGACGGGGAGCCTGGGCAAAGCCTGGGAAGGAAGCAGAGAAGGACGGACAGCGGTAGTTTTCCTGGGAGAAAGGGCTGGCAGGGTGGAAATGCAGATCCCTGCCCTGCCCGCCACAACTCCAGGCCTGACACTCAGGACCCATCCACTGTGGCCGGGGAAGGTGGGCACTGTTCCCAACAAGGCCAATTCCAGTGCTGACCACTCACTGGTTTGGGAATGACGGCAGCACGGGGTTGGGGCTGAGCCCATGGCCGGTCAACTCGCCTGCAGCTGAGCCAGGAGCCTTTGCAGGGAGGCACTGGCCACAGGACACAGCACACGTGGATAAACCACACCCTGAACGGCCCCACTCCCCGCGGGGCGGCCCTGCCCCAGGGGGCGTCAGCCACCCTACATGTGTGTCCTGGAAGCCTGGGCTGCACTCAGACCTGCTAACAATCCTCTCTGCTCTAGGGTCCTCCCCACTCTGTTCACCCGCAACACCAGGGCCGGGCTGGCCTTGGCGAGCAGAATCCAGACTGGAGCGAGAATGCCAAGATGGAAGGGGTCTTGGGGGTCCAGCTCTCCAGGGCTCAGAAAGGGCCGCACCACAAATGAAGACGTGGGATTCCGTGAGGGCTGGGCCATCGCCCATGTCCACGAGACAAGCCAGCAAATCCTGACCCCAGCCCTGGCCCCCCGTCGGACCCAGAGATGCTGTGGCCCCTCACGCCTTTCCAGGGAGCTGGGTCCAAGCCCCTGGCAAGCACCCCAGTCCCAGGCCCCCCTGGGCTCTCATGCAGCCACTACCAGACGATCCCAGATCCTGTACCTGGGACACCTTTCCCTGGGACGCTCCCAGCTCAAGGCTCAAAAAAAACCCTCCAGGCTCACCTGGGGGCAGGGGTATCAGACTCAGACAGGCCCAAGGCTTGGCCCGCTCCCCTCCCCCTCCCTAACTTGGGCCATTCCATGGTACTAGCAGCTGGGGCAGAGGATCAGGGGCAGGAGGGGCCGTGGAACTCAATAATCCATGTGTGGGAAGACGGTCCTGGGATTCCAGAGTGTCCCTGGCAGGACACCCAGGGGGCTGGACTGGGAGGAATCTGCGGAGGCCCCAGGTCCAGTCCCGGCCTCCAAGCAGAGCTCTCCCCACGCCTTCCGAGAACTCAGCAAGGGCAGCTGTGGCCCCTGCCTCGGACAGGAAGGGCGCAGGAAGGCCTCTCCAGGGGCAGGAGATGGGATGAGCCCAGGCAGCTGTGGTCCAGACCACTGTGCACAGGGGGGTTTGTACCTGGAGGCGGGTGGGGCAGGCTTCCCGGGTACAAGGCAGGGCTAGGGCCTCCTGGGCCACTCAGTACCCATGACTTGCTGGAATGCTATCACTACCCATAACCACATCTCCAGCAGAGGGCAAACCCCAAACCTTCCCAGCAGCAGCTCTCTCCCTCCCTCCCCTGAAGCACACATGTCCACCTGCCATGAACCAGCCAGGGCCACAGGCCTTCCACTGGTAACACAGAGTCCGGAGCCTCCAAGACAGGCGGGGCCAGGGACAGACACCTGCTGACAGCCCCTTCCCTACAAGGAGAAAGCCAAGGCCCAGCAGTCTCCAGCCCCAGCGGGAAGGAGGTGGGACAACGCCCTGGAGGAACCTGGACATCAGCAGGGTCTCCACCATGGGGCTAGACAGCAGCTTCCCAAACCCGCCTGGTTGGGGGCACCCCAAGAGGGCAGGAGGCGGGAGCAGGAGAGCAGTCACACAGGTGCAGACAGGTCGGGGTGGGGCACACTGAGGGCTCCCAGGGCGCTGACCAGGCACTGCGTCCTCCCCTGCAGGCCCAAGTGCCAGGATAGCGCCAGGCTTTGTAAGTGCTGCAGGGTAGCATCCTCCATACGTCATCCAACTCTGATCAGGACAAACCGGCTCAAGTCTTCAATAGGAAAGTGCAAAAGATGTACACATACATGAAGTCTCTTCTACGAAGTCGTCTGGAGAAGGTGGCGGAGGGGCACGTCCGGCGTGGCTGTGGGTGACGCTTGCGGAAGAACACTTGAATTATGATGAGGTGGCACTTCTGGGCTGGGGCCCAGCCGGGCTGGGCCTTGTCCTCCATGTGATGGCATTACTCGGCTTCCCTTTGGGTCCCAAGATGGCACTGGCTCCTTAAAAAGCGGCAGCTTTTCTCTCCCGTGGGGTTCGGGCAGGTGGCCCGGCAAACGCAGCTGCAAAAAGCAGGTCAGGGGGTTCCTGTCATCAGAGGGGGCTCCCGGGCCATGACCTCCCTGCCAGCAGCAGCCCAGGAAGCGGCATCCCGGACGGGCAGCCCGCCAGCAGCCGCTCTGGAGCCTCCACCGTCCGGCGACTGTTCTTGCGGGGACAAGGGGACCTGGTGGAGGCCAGTGGCCCCAGTGAAGGCGGCCAGGGAGAACTGGCAGTTCCTCCAGAATAAGTGCCCCTCTCCGGCCAGTAAACCCTCAACCACCCTCCTATCCTGGCAGGAGGTGAGGGCGTGAGACAAGAGGTGATACCCGCCATGGGCAGAACAGGGGAGGCAGAACAGGGGAGGCAGAACAGGGGAGGCAGGACAGGGCTCCATGTGGGGGCAGCAGTCTCTTGAGTCACCGCTGGGGACGCGTGGGTACACCGGCACACACGTGCACGCCCAGGAGCACGCCCAAGTCTGCTGGCCCCTGCACGTCCTGCCGCACCAGCCTCCCAGTGGGCAGACACACTGCTGGAAGGTGGTCCCAGGGCAAAGGGGGCAGGATAGAGGGGCTCCAGGCAAGCGGGTGACTCAAAGCCGCCAAAGGCAGGGAAGGCCCCGAGGCTTAGGGACGTCAGCCAAGCGCGGGCGCGGGGCTGACTCCGGCCAGGCCGGATTTACGCTGGGGAGAAGGCCCAGGACAGCCGGGCGGTGGAAGACGGTGGCGGGGGAGCAGCCGG